GAAATTTCTGATGCTATATTTCGTCGCTATTTCCTTGCAAATTTCATCACTAGATCGTTGTGGTATGAAAATAGCAATAGATATTTTGTTGGTATAGCGACGGAATTTGCTTTGCTAGATTTAACGACAGAATATTCCGCTGTTAGTTCATCACAAATTTCGTTTTCTAATCCGTCGGCGAAAGAAATTTAGCGACGGATTATTTTCGCTTAGTGACAAAATATTCCATCACTAACTGTAGCTACGGAAATAAATTGTGCTGCTAGATTTTAACGATGCGCATTTTTGTTCGAATGAGTTCCGTCGCTAAACACTTTAGCGACGCATTTTCCCTATTTAGTGATGGAATCTGTCCTCTGCTATTTCCGCGTTTTTTTTGTTGTGAAAATCCAAAACTTCATACTCCATAATCTCATTGTGTGACGCTGCCCTTTATGCTACCACCAATAACCCAATTGCACATGACACTGCTAAAAAAAAAAAAAAAAAAGAGGACAATTATTGAAGATGAAGACAATGACAATGCTACCAAAAAGAGAATTAAAAAGACTTAGAGAAATTCAAATCAAAAGTAGTATTTATTTAGACTATCACTTTTGGACTAAATATTTAGACTATTGTTATTACAAAGTTGTAAATATTTAGTTTAGTATTCATATACTTTGAATAACTGACTTAAATATAAACAAATTCAACATTCAGTTACCTATGCATAAACATATCCTATATAATTATGCATTGATATATTTTGAAGTACTTATTTAAAATTAATTATTGGGCATTATCGCAATCACGCAATGCTCGAGAAAAACTAGTAGTACTATATATATATATATGGAGAAAATTATTTAATTTAACTTGCGTTTTATTCTAGAAACACGATTAATGCAAAAGACCACAATGAAACTCAAGCTTTCATGTCTAATGACTTGAATATGTAATAAAAATTAAACATTCCATCTAATTTGGGAATTTCTTTAAAAAAATTAAATAATTAATTCTTTTAAAGGCATGCCCAAATCTAAAATGGAATTATTTTATTTGAAAGACATTAGGAAATTAATCATTCCTTTTTAAAATATTGTTGCAGGATGTTCAAGTTGGGGTTGAAAACCATCTTCAACCATGCTGCTTCCTGAGCCTGTTTGTCACCTTCGATTTGGAACACGACGGTGGGATCGATGCAGTGAATGCGCCATCCCAGCTCGTCCCTCAGCCGCCGGATTTTGCCTACTTGACGGCGGATTAAGCCTATGGTGTTGGTCTTGATTTCAGCAATGGCGGATTCAAGCAGCGCCTTCTTCTCAGCGTCAGACATGCCTTTACTGGCTTCAGCTCTCAGATACTTGTCCATTTCAGGAACTCCGATGGCTCTTCGAATACCCTTTGTGTAATCTTTGTCGGTGGCAAAGATTCCTCGTACCTCATTGTTAGGAATATAGCGGAATAATGCGGAAGCAAAGAATCGAAAATTTGAGAATTATAGAGAAATTAAATAAAATTGATAGGAAAATATAAAATGACAAATGAATATAATATAAGATGGAAAAGTATTATATATATATATATATATATATATATATATATATATATTCACGTGAGATAGCTAAAAGATAAAGAAGGAAAGAATTCAAATTGATGCACATTTGATTACAAATCTAGTAAGCTATTTATACTAAGCAATTGAGAGAAATGCAGCACACATATCATCATATGGAGGACGTGAGATGTGGACGACGTGCAATGTGGAAGAAGTAATTAAGCATGCAACGCGGATGATTGTCTTCATGGAATTGAATGGATTTGAGCTACACATTATTATTTCCTAACAATCTCCACCTTGGATCAAATTCATCATGAAATTAACAACTGGAACAGTCGACTAAACTCAAACACTACTTGAATTTAGCAATAGGAAGAGCTTCAGAATAGCAGGATGGATCACCATCAACCTCCTATGCGACTGAAAGAGCATAAGCAACCAAATTGGTTTCATCATCAACAGCATACCTAGCAGGTTTTTTAATTATCCTCCTAGGATGATCCATAGCAATGGAATACTCTCGTTGTGGCTCGACGAGAGGTGCGGTGCTAGTAGATGCATCATCTTTAGTATTACCATCAGCTGTAGTAATACTATCAATAGGCCTGAACTCAAACTCCACCTTCTCACCAGTACTCTGCGTCTCACCTGTACTGTGAACTTTTCCGGCAGAAAGTAGTGCATTTTCATCAAAAGTGATATCTCGACTCAGAATGATTTTCTGAGAATCAGGAGACCATAGACGATACCCTTTTGATCCAGAAGCATAACCAAGGAAAATGCATTTGACAGCTCTCGAGTTTAATTTACCCGTACTGGAATGAGCATATGCAGGACATCCAAAAACTCTTAAGATAGAGTAGTCCACAGGATTACCTGACCAAACTTCTTCTGGAATTTTGAAATCAAGGGATGAATGTGGAGATCTATTTACCAAATAGCAAGCAGTAGAAACGACCTCGACCTAAAAATCACGTCGTTTCCATAACCCAGCATTAGAGATCATACAACAAGCTCTTTCCAATAGAGTCCTGTTCAAACGTTCGGCAACACCATTCTGCTGGGGTTTACCAGGCAAGGTCTTGTGCATGGCGATTCCATTTGCCGCACAAAAGTCATTGAAATTTGACTCACAGAACTCCAAGCCATTGTCTGTCCTGAGCTTCTTGACTTTTTTACCTGTCTGAGTCTCAACAAGTATTTTCCACTTCTTGAAAATAGAAAATGCATTATTTTTATGTTTTAGGAAATAGACCCAGACTTTACGAGAAAAGTCATCAATAATAGACATAAAATATCTACAGCCTCCCATAGACTGGAATTTAGTTGGTCCCTATAAATCGGAATGTATGTATTCCAATACATCTTTGGTACGGTGTGCAGCAGTAGAGAAACTAACCCTCTTTTGTTTTCCAAAAACACAATGCTCACAAAACTGTAATTTACCCGTACCTGAACCACCAAGGAGGTCTTTCTTGCTCAGGATATGCATGCCTTTCTCACTCATATGCCCCAGAAGCATATGCCATAGTTGAGTGAGATCCGCATCAGACATCGATGAGGATACCGCTACTGAATCTGTCACAGTACTGCCCTGCAAGACGTACAAGCTTCCAGAACGAGAAGCTTTCACGAGAACAAGAGAGCCTTTGATGACATTCAAAACTCCACCTTCAGCTATGTACTTGCACCCCATAGATTCCAAGGTGCCCAAGGATATCAGTTTGCGTTTCAAATCAGGAATATACCGAACATTGGTAAGAGTCCTGATAACATTATCATATGTTTTAATATGAACACTTCCAATTCCACTAACCTTGCATTGGGTATCATTACCCAGCAAGACAACTTCACCATCAATCGGTTCTAGAGAGATGAACCAGTCTTTGTGAGGACACATGTGGAATGTACAACCAGAGTCCAGAATCTACTCGGTTTCGCTCTGTTTGCAACCGGAGTTAACAGAAACATAACATCGCCTTCTGAATCACTTTCAACAACAATAGCTTCAGCGGACTTCTTTTCTCTCTCTTGCTTGGTTTTCAGCTTGAAGCATTCAGTCACATCGTGACCCTGCTTCTTGCAGTACTTACAGGATTTGTTGGACTTCCGTCCATTGGACTTGGATCTAGATTTTTTATTGCTACTCCTGATTCAAGTGAGAGACCCCTTACAGTCAAGCCTTCACCTTTGTCCTCAGACTTAATTTCAAAGTCAAACTTTTCTTTGGACAATAGGTTTGACTTAACATTGTCGAAAGTAAGGGTATCACTACTATTACCATACAACATAATTTCTTTGAAATGCTTGTATGATTTAGGGAGAGAGACAAGCAATAAAACAGCGCGATCCTCATCTTCAATTATGACATCAATATTTTCCAAGTCCAATAAAATAGAATTGAATTCATCCAAGTGAGATTTAATAGAAGTACCTTCCGTCTTACAGATTGTGTACAGACGCTCCTTCAGGCATAGCGTGTTCGCCAGAGTTTTGGCCATGTAAAGTGTATCCAGCTTGGACCATAAATCTGACGCAGTCGTCTCACTTACTACCTCACATAGAACCTCTTTAGACAGGCACAAAAGAATGGTTGAACGTGCCTTGTCATCCAAATCTTCTCAATCTTCATTTGTCATTGTAGCCAGTTTCTTCTTCTTCCCAGCTAGCGCTTTCTTCAAACCGTTCTGGGTTAGAACGGCTTCCATCTGAACCTTCCAGATAGAAAAGCTAATTTTCCCGTCGAACTTCTCGATATCGAACTTAGTAACAGTTGACATCTTTGAAAATAATTCTCAAATAAACCGCTCTGATACCACTTGTTAGGAATATAGCGGAATAATGCGGAAGCAAAGAATCGAAAATTTGAGAATTATAGAGAAATTAAATAAAACCGATAGGAAAATATAAAATGACAAATGGATATAATATAAGATGGGAAAGTATAATATATATATATATATATATATATATATATATATATATATATATATATATATATATATATATATATATATATATATATATATATATATATATTCACGTGAGATAGCTAAAAGATAAAGAAGGAAAGAATTCAAATTGATGCACATTTGATTACAAATCTAGTAAGTTATTTATACTAAGCAATTGAGAGAAATGCGGCACACATATCATCATATGGAGGACGTGAGATGTGGACGACGTGCAATGTGGAAGAAGTAATTAAGCATGCAACGCGGATGATTGTCTTCTTGGAATTGAATGGATTTGAGCCACACATTATTATTTCCTAAGAATCCTCATCAACCAAACGTACATGCATATAATCAGTACACCAAACAAAAATTATGCAAATAAACCAGTTAACCAAATTAGTCTGACCAATTATATAAGTTCGTTTTGACGATTCTACCTTGAAATGAATTTAAGTTACCTTGATTAACCATTTGGTCAACTCGTTTAGACACAAAAGTCTTCAAACATTTGGAGAAACATCAAGCCAAATGAAGCAGCCCTGGTAGTTGGACTTGAACTTGAAGTCAGGGTCCTCCACCAGGGCTTCAATGAAAGAATTTGACCCTCCGACGACGATCGGAACCTTGCCGGAGTTGATGATTCGCTCAATCACCGACGTGGCCTGGAAGCAAAAGTCGCGGGCAGTGTATTCTTCATCGGGGTTCCCAACATGCCTAAGCAAATGATGAGGCACGCCAAGCTTCTCGATCTCAGGAATCTTGTTACCCAGAACGTCAAGCCCTCTGTAAACCTGAATCTTGTCGGAGTTGATTATCTCTCCTCCAATGTGGGCGGCTAGGCTGACAGATAGCTTCGACTTTCCCGATCCGGTGGCTCCCATGATGAACACCACCACCTTCTTGTTCATAGCCATCTTCAGTCAATCGATTGCCTGCCTATTTGATCTGTTCATAGCAAATCATACATAAACACACATTAAAACTTAAAATTGATTACAAATTTCTACATGATATATATATATATATATATATATATATATATATATATATATATATATATATATATATATATATATATATATATATAGAGGAAGGTTCAAGTGCGGCAGTGCACTTAGGTGCGGCAGTGCGGTTAATTGTAGGCCATTAGATTAGATAAATCCAACGAATCACATTCATCCAGGCTTTTCCGATATTTCCGCGCGCGTTCTCACAGTACGCGAACTGCAAGGTTAAAGTCGTCATTGGGCACCAGAATATATCAAATCATAGTGTTGTGTGTTTTATGTTCATTATTGGTGCATTATTAACCTTACTGTGGTGTATTTGAGAATTCATGTTGGTGCCTTCCCGAGCGGTCAGTACGACCACACTAATAGTTATACGAATATACACCATCCATGTTATAAAATGCACACCAAAAAAACATGCACAAATTAGATACGCATCACCAGAACGCACCACTAGGTATGACTAAAAGCATCACACAGTGTTCAGAATACACCATTGGGTGGTGAGTTATATGGTGTATTTTTTGGGTGTGTTGTGTGCTTTTTGGTGTATTTTTACATTTCATTGTGGTTCTTTTTTCTAACACTATTGGTGTCTTTTGTTAACACTGTTGGTGTATACTGACAAGCGACCAATATAAATAACCACTACAATTATCATAACACCCCCCCACTTACCAGGACGCGCTTAAATCTTTAAATCTTCGGAAATTAGCTGCTGCCGTTAGATTAAGCAAAATAGACGACGCTGATATGACCGCACCGCTGCACCTAAAGCCACTGCCGCATATGAGCCTTATTCTATATATATATATATATATATATATATATATATATATATATATGTATATATATATAATATGGTGTAAGAAAATATTACTGATATTGAAAATGTCTGGAAAAACGAGAGTGATATGAAAATGAGGGTATGGGTGAGAGTATATATATTTCTATAGGAGTGACCGAGTATGGCAAGTGAATATTAATAGATATGCGAATTTAGTAAAAAATTAAGTTATTATTTTTTTTCTAATTTTATTAATTCAATTTAGTATGCGAATTTGTTAAATTATTAAATGATTTATTGAGAAAATGTATTGTTCAACTTTTTATTTAATTTCAAATTAGTATAATATTTATATATATTCCAAAAATATAGATACATTTGATCATTTGTACAAACTGGGACGAACCCAAAATTTTATTTAGGACAGAAAAGATTTTTAACTAATTAAGGAACTTTACTGAAGAGAGTCAATGGCTCTCCAAATCAGTTTTGATTTTAATTTAACATAAATATTAGAGCAGTAATACTTTTTAGTTAAACTGTACTGAGTAATTTTTTATATGCACCTCTAAAAAGTATTATAGGTCACATATTAAGACTGTAATACAAGACATATTTTTATGATAATCATTTCAAGTCACTATTATTTTCTCTAAATTACACAAATTTTATCATTCTCATAATTTCAAATGTTATTATTTAAAAGTCATTGTTGCTCCAAAATTATATTATTACCGCCGTTTTTTTTTTTATAGAAATTAAAGCTTAATTCATTAAATCATCAGCAACTCAGCAAGGCAACGGACAAGAAAAGGGGGTGGAACATCTAGCCACCCCGCGCAACCTGACTCAGAAATGGCCTCCCTAGCAACAGTGTGGGCTGCACGATTCACAGATCGAGAATTTTCATCTACCAATTTTTTTTTATTTTTTTTTTTTGGAAATTAAAGCTTAATTCATTAAATCATCACCAAGGCAACGAACAAGAAAAGGGGTGGAACTATTAGGACTATTAGGAATCTATTATCCATATTAGACTGGGACTATATTATTCGTGTTAGACTAGGATTCTATCTAGCATCTCTATATCTTCGCTCCCTATACTCTCAGACATTATTATTGAATACAACACAGTTATATTCTCATCTAGAATCAGTTAGCCAGGGTTTTCTTTTCCAACATCCATGTTCCTCACTTCGTAGCAGTAGCCGATGGCATCAAACCAAGATACATCGTATCAGAAGCGGTCCGGTCAACGACGTGACGTTGATGATCCGTGTCAAATTTGTAACGGTTTCGGCCACACGGGAGCCAATTGTGTTTTGCGTTATGATGATCCGTGTCAATTTGTGACCGTTTTGGTCACACGGGAGCCAATTGTTTTTGGCGCTATGATGATCCGTGTCAAATTTGTGACCGTTTTGGTCACACGGGAGCCAACTGTCTTCGGCGTTATTCAGGGGCTCCGGGTTTTAAGGCTAATGCGGCCGTCTCTGGTGATAATGGTGATTCCAACGGTCCTCATCAGTGATGCCCTGACACTGGTGCTACAAATCATGCAACGCCTGATTCTTCTTTGATGACTTCTGCGACAAGTTATGATGGCCCGGAGACTCTGCGAGTCGGCAATGGTACAGGTTTGCCTATTGTTAATGTTGGTTCTGCTTCGTTAGCCACTGATTCTATGTCTTTTAAGTTACATGATGTTTTGCATGTCCCTGGTCTCTCTTCTTCTCTATTATCTGTCCAGCGTTTTGTAAAGGACAAAAATGTTTTCTTTGAGTTCCACCCTCTTTGTTTCTATGTGAAAGACATTTTGACCAAGAAGGTTCTTTTTAAGGGACATGCGTCTGGGGGTCTCTACACATGGCCTGTGTCTTCTACTTCCCCTGCTGCATTTGTTGCTGCACGGTCCTCTTATGTTTGGCACATGCGGTTGTGGCATCCTCATTCTCGAGTCTTACGTAAAATTTTAGCGTGTTCGTCTGTTGGTACATTTAATTCTAGTGATCTTCCCAATGTCTACTCCTCTTGTCAATTAGGAAAATCTTCTCATTTTCCTTTGTCTTGTGTTGAAACTACTAGTACGCATCCTTTGGAATTAATTTATTCAGATATTTGGGGCCCTGCGCCATTACTTTCTGCGTCTGGCTTTAAATATTTTGTGTTGTTTGTGGATGATTACACTCGTTATATGTGGTATTATCCCATGCGTGCTAAATCTGGTTTCTATGCTATATTTGATAAGTTTCGGTCACTGGCTGAACGTTCCTTTTCTCGTAAGATTATTTCTTTTCAATCTGATTTAGGGGGAGAATATAAAAAGCTTGGTTCCACTCTTGCGTCGTTAGGTATTCGTCACAGGCAATCATGTGCGTATACTCATGAACAAAATTGCAGGGTAGAACGTAAGCATAGGCATGTTATTGAAACGGGACTAGCATTAATGGCTCAATCCTCTGTTCCGTCTCGTTTTTGGGATTATGCTTTTGAAACTGCGGTTTATCTAATCAATAAAATGCTCACTCATGTCTTATCTGATAAATCTCCTCATTATCTTTTGCATCGGTCTCCTCCATCTTATTCATATCTGCGTGTTTTTGGGTGTTTATGCTTTCCAAATCTGCGTCCCTATAATCACAACAAACTACAGTTTCGGTCATCCCCTTGTGTCTTTCTAGGATATCCTCCATCTTTTCGTGGCTATCGTTGTTTAGACACTAACACTAACAAGGTTTTTATCTGTCGCCATGTGCGATTCGATGAGGCTGTCTTTCCTTTTGTTGCTTCTGTGGATTCGCAGGTTCCAAAACCACACCCGGAGCCGTGGGGTTTTGCACCAATTGTGTCTGGTGGTGATCCGACTATTGTCACGGCTCGTGACCCTCCTGCCGCGCCCATAGCCGCTTCTGACCACCACCGCCAGCAGCCTGCTACTTATTAAAGACTAATTATAATTAGTATTATTTATCTGATGTTGTCCTACTCTTTCTCTATTTTGTTAGTCTTAGACTGAGCATGCAATCTGTTGTAACTTCCCTTAGGATCCTGGTGTATAGCTCTATATATTATGTTGTATTATTCTCTTTCAATAATACATTCTCATTCAAACCTTCATACTACTGCCGAGCCTGTGACCGAGTCCGAGCGGACAGTCACGGACCAGCCGGCTCCTCGGCCTGGCCTCGTGGTCGGTCTCGTCACGCGCCCTCACCCGTTCGCTCTCATGGAATGAATACGAGAAGTTCTGGACACATGATCATGTTGCTTTATCTGCTGCTGCTGTTACTCCTGAACCTACATGTTTTACTCAAGCGGTTAAATTTCCTGAATGGTGGGATGCAATGGATTTGGAATTTAATGCCCTGGTGCACAACAATACATGGAGGCTTGTTCCCTTTAAACCAGGTATGAATGTAGTTGGATGTAAGTGGGTGTTTAGAACCAAGAGAAAGGCTGATGGTTCGATTGAGCGTTACAAGGCTCGGTTAGTTGCCAATGGATTCAATCAAATTGCCAGCGAGGATTTCTTTGAGACCTTTAGTCCCGTTGTTAAACTGACTACGGTACGTCTTCTTTTATCCTTAGCTATTTCTCGTGGATGGACTATTCGACAGTTGGACATACACAATGCTTTTCTAAATGGCAATCTCGCTGAGACGGTTTATATGCGCCAGCCCCCTGGTTATGAAGAAAAAACGATGCTCGGGCACGTTTGTCTCCTTCAACGTTCTTTATATGGGCCTAAGCAAGCTCCACGTGCTTGGTTCACTTGTTTGCATGATTTTCTGGTTTCTGCTGGTTTCTCACCTTCCAAGACGGATGTCTCTCTATTTATATATTCACATGGCAATACTCGTTTATATTTTCTGGTTTATGTGGATGATATTTTGGTTATGGGATCTGATCCGGCTCATGTGACTGCTCTTATTGACAAGTTGGCTCTTGAGTTTAAAGTTCGTGATATGGGTGTGCCCTCGTTCTTTCTGGGTATAGAGACCATTCCGTTGTCTGATGGCATGCTTCTGTCTCAACAACGGTACATGAAGGATATTCTAAAACAAGCAGGTATGGTTGATTGCAAGCCCGTGGCTACTCCGGTTTCAACCACGAAGGC